TATATGTATGTATGTATGTATATATAATATATATATCTAGTTTGACATATACAATATATATACATGGGAGTAGCACAGTAAGATCACACGCGTAGTTTTGGGCATATACGCATTTCGGGATTGCAGGCCAGATTGCCTTGAATACGCATGCGGATATACGTAAGGGCTTATCCAACAAATAGTGTGCATTACTCACTTCGTTTAAATATCCCGTCTCGCATAATATGGACGGAGTTGTTGTGCGCGTATATTACTAATTGAGGCACGAATGGTCTCAGATTATGCACACGAAGTATCGCATGTGGTATCATTTGGGGTGTGTACTGTATACTAAATACCAAAGTAGTCTGTAAGTTTATGAGTTAAAATAAACTCAAGCGCCTTCTACACCAACACGTATGCAGCATATATACCCCAACTCCCCGCCGAATTGACCGTCTTTATGCAAATACAATCCGTCAACAGATTACGCTACAGTTGTGTATGAGATCGTCAGGCTATCTTAGTGCTGACTATATGACTTATTATTATAACAGATTATGCTACAGTTGTGTATGAGATCGTCAGGCTATCATAGTGCTGACTACATGACTTATTATTATAACAGATTATGCTACAGTTGTCTATGAGATCGTCAGGCTATCTTAGTGCTGACTATATGACTTATTATTATAACAGATTACGCTACAGTTGTCTATCAGATCGTCATGCTATCTTACTGCTGACTATATCACTTATTATTATATGTTCTATATATAGATACCTCCGTCAGAGTATCAAGGTGTCTGGTATCGACCACACCATCCTGGACTCCTTCATCGTCTACATCCAGCGTTTGGCGAAAGGTATGCAAAGCAACAATGTAAGCATGCGAATATGACATGTCTTTGGCTAGATGTATGTATATGTCACAGTGGGTTTGGTCTCCTGTTGAGTCTTAGTATGTGTGTATATATGTGCGCGTTGTCTGTAGCGTTGCATATACAATTCACATAGATCCTTTCGTAGTTCATTGAGTGGATAGCGTGGTCGTGGTTCATTCGAGTTCCATCCCGAAATCAGGCTCCGAGTTTCTGAATTCTCTGGCGTTGGCTTTTGTTGTGTGTTAACGCTTTGAAAGTGATTTCCATGATACTGAAAAACGGGTTGTACCAGGTTTCTCTATCCGGGTACAGCCCGCTGCGCCTGTGTTAAGATTTTTGTCGGTCGTATTAATAAACGTTCCTCTGTTACCGATGGCATTATATTTGCTTCTGCAACGCTTTGCACATACACGTGCCAGGTTTACTACTATCCCCTCGGTACTACGTATGTGCGTTATAATCGAAGCAGAGTCAGATACACACCTCAGAGTCAAATACATACCTCAGAGTCAAATACATACCTCAGAGTCAAATACATACCTCAGAATCAAATACATACCTCAGAGTCATACAAACCTCAAGAGTCAAATACATACCTCAGAGTCAAATATATACCTCAGAGTCAAATACATACCTCAGAGTCAAATACACACCTCAGAGTCAAATACATACCCGCCACAAGTCTTAGAAATCTATAAACACCTTCTTCAAACTCAGCGTTCAACATCGAGGTGTCTGGCCGGGTGCCCCTTCCCACGAAGATAAAAAAGATCGTTCTGCTGAAGTCTCCCCATGTCAGCAAACAGCACAGACGTACCTTTGCGGGAATCACACACCGACGGCTGATACAGGTGTGTGTGTGTGTGTGTGTATCGTTGCGATGGTTGTAATTCTAGGCTCATCTTTTGTACCTATTTCAATTCCTATGAGATGCCTGGGTGTGCAGTGTCCACGTGCAGATGTATAATAGCCTCTTCTCTCCAAGGGAACCCGCACTTATGTATATCTACTTTGTGACCTACCCCGTGTCTATTCCCGCTCTCAGATCTACAATTGTTCGGATGAGACCCTGGACTTCTTTATGGACACTCTCACGGACAAGATGCCTCCGGGTTGCATGATGTCTGCCACAGGTATGACTACGTAGATGTTCCGTACAAATATTGATGGGTCTGTGGATGCTATGCCCATGCACACACATACCCCACCACTTTCTCTCACATACATATTTATTTGTGTATACAAAGTTTCTGACATTTTGTACTCAGCAGGATGCGGACACTGTTCACTTTCCCAGTTACCGATTTCGTTGTGTATGCTATCTGTAGTTATTGTGTGTCGATATCGTTCCTGCTAACCTTGAGGGATCAGGGATACGACATACAACGGGTGCACACTAGAACAAAGTTAATCCATTATGTTACCACACATACGAACTAAATCTCTCATGTGTACCTATATATATATATATATATATATATATATATATAATACACACACACACACACACA